AGGAGTAGACCTTATTGCCTCATATGTGTCAAATAATGGACTTTCATGAAAAGTCATGGGTTTTATGAAAAAAGGAGCATACGATTTTGAGTTAAAACAGGAAATTGACTTGTTCTAACCGTTAAAGACAAAACAACATTTTAAATACAAAATTTGTTTAGATTTACAGGCAATTCTTGTTACAATCTCCAGACAAATAGTAATGTATAAACAATGCTGACCTTAATGTTAAGGTTTACTAAAAAGTTAAGTTAACCTAATTTAGATTACCAAATACGGAAGTGTCAATGGTTCAATAGAATTTGAATTCCTTATCATAACTATATCGATAATACCCTCAGAAAAGTACAATAGATAACAATTTATATGAAGACGACTTATACATATTTGTGAGTCGTAGGAAGCAATAATTTCTCAAGAAAAAAATAATATGAAAAGATGTACATCCTTTGAATAAAAGCATTTTAAGTAGACATTAAAAACCTCGGTTATAAGACAATACCAGCCGGTACAAATCAACAAAAAAACATTTTTAAATTACACAAAAACCTCGAAATTAGCTCATCAATCATTTTATTAGATGAAAGGCTTAAACCACGGAAAGATACATGAATACACAAAGAGGTGTGCTTTGAGTGCATCGTATAATGTCGAAAGGTGCTGAGTGTTGTCACTTTAATGTGGTGAGCTCAAAGCATTTGAATCAAGCACTTAGCTTCAACACTTTAAAGCAATAACCCAGACACTTAATGTGTGTTCGTCTCGACTCTACAGCTTATGTTAAATCACTTCTGAATACTAATGTTGCATATACTCAAACCTTTACTCATCCAAGTTTTAAAATTGCACGTTGTAATAAAACACTTTTCATAATATATATAATATAGCTTAATACATTTGAATTTTAAATAACACCTTCAATTTTGTTAGTCCTACAATGCAAATTGGTTCCCTTTGCTACACAACCTTTATGTTAAGTATTCACTTAAAGAGATGTTTTAAAAAAAATAATAAATAAATATGTTGATCAGGATAATTTTAGAGATACACTGGTGCAATCATTTCAACTACCCTCCGTTGGGTATGAGTAACAAGAGTCCCATCAAATGTAGCTGGTTACGCACACAATTATAGATTTCAACAACGTAACTTCAGATATACATATAACCCTATCCAAACCTTTACACGCATTAACATAAATTAAATTATTTTTAACTTTACGTAAAATCCCCATTCCTATATGGCCACCGTCACAGCTATGGTTGTGCTCAAAATCGGTTCAACAGATAGTTAAACAGTCAACTCCGCAACTAATTATGTATGAAAGGATTCCTGTTTGCTATTTTAAGCACCGTAAGTTATGTTTACCTCTCTAATTACTCTGTTTGATGATATTATTAATTGGACGTTGGGTGTGATTCAATTAGTTTCAAAATTCCATTTACTCGCGTAAAGTTTATATTTAATTGGAAACACATAAGTATTGACTGAAATATTTACTCTTATTCATCCAATCTAACACATTACTAGGCGTGGATATTTCTCATATCTTCTAAGCACTAGTGTAGTAGTCAACAAGATAAAACCTCTTTATATCACATATATAAGTCCTAACGAATTATAAAAAATTGTCCTTGTTTTTGTAACTTTAGAACATAGTTTCAAGATGGGTTGTTGATTGTTTATTATATCCACCAACAAAGTACATACACCCGTAAGCCAATATAAAGCGTTTGTGGCACACCCATATCCCTTTACGACGGCTGTAATCGTAAACCCTCTTGACGCCGTAAACGATCTTCAGAGACCGGACTGAAACTGTCAGAGAATCAGCCAAGATATGTCTAATATTTGTTTGAAGTTGGATACCTCATATTCCCAAGCCAACAGAGACGACTTTCATAAACTGGCCATTACCAAAAATAAACTTTTCATGTAGTAAAAAAACTTTTGAAATAGTAAAAGAGTATGCTTTGTACGTAATAATAAAATATGTTATTTGCATGCTTTCTCGATATATTAATGCTGTGAAATCCTTTTATGTCTCGTTAAATTCTATATTGAAATGTAAAAAAGTTGTACTGTCGTCCATGACATGCTACAAAATTAGAGCATCCAGTACCAAAACTTTGTTGCAAGCTGTAATGGACAGCTTAACATTTCAAACACGGAACGGAACCAGTCGGCTATTAAAAGGACATGAATGTGATTGCAGTAAAAACTGCTGGAAATTAAGCCTTTTTTGTCTAAAATATCAGGCACATAATCGTTTATTTAATCAATAATGGTCTTAAATTAGGGGACGTCCGAATCAATCACTGTAAACTAAATTCCTCCCTACAATACCAACTATTGAAATGTGATATATTAATTAAATAATTATCAGTATGGACAAAAGACTAAAAACTTACTGGCTACAATGTATCAGACAAAATAATTTTGTTTAAAGAGATTGTAAAAAATAGTTATATGGTAAAATTTCGTAGTCAAATCATAGTATATCTAATGGCAACTTTGTATTGCAAATATTTATTTTTTCATTCTAAGGCTTATAAATGGTATAACCTTTGAAATGTTATACTTATAATTAGGGTGGAAGTAATAAATAAACAAACACAACTAACTTACGGGATGAAACAATTTTGGATTGAAACCAGCATTAGAGGGAAAAACTAGCTTAAAGCACCTAAGTAATTAATTTAAAATTTAAAAATATTCAATACATGCAAAACATGCAATTTAATGCATGCAGTATAAGAAACTAATACTTATTGTACGAGGTTATACGAGGTTGTACGAGGTGTATGAGGTATTTGCTTAATCTGCTTAGTATAAATATTGTCTTTGAGGACAGAAGATTGGTTTCGGATATCTAGGGCAGTTTTGTTGCAGCTTATAGCATCAGATCTTTGGGTTTCAGTTATGACTAGTATTTAGTTTTCTCAACATGCAGTTCTAGTTTCTTGGGCACAAGTTTTATGCTTATATTTTGTTTGTTAAATGTTTCCAAAATACTTTTGTTACACGACAACTTTTATCAGCGAATTTCCCATATTGAATCGTTTAATTCAATACTAAACCACATGAATGTTGACTGGTTGAATGTTTGTGCTTGGTAATTAGTACAACGGGCTATTACCATAGGTCTCATGGTAAGACCTAGGGCAAATGACTCCAAAGGTAAAAACATCATCCGTTCCATTTGGAATATATTTATTTAAATGTGTGTCCAATAGCAGAAAAATATCCAATTATGGCGACATTTGGTACAAACATGTAACTATGGGATACTGTAGGTTATGGAGAAAAATTGGTTTCCCAATTTTAGACCCCAGAACATAAGACTTATAAAAATAAAAAAAATATTTTGTAGAGCTTTAACAAATCATTTAATAGCTATAGCGCTGTATCCCTAAACAGTTACGGAAGAAATTCCATAAAACCAAAAATTTTGAATTTCCATGTTAAAATAAATAAAATGAAAAGGAATAAATAAACTGTTGTAGTTTGTAAGTTTATGGATATATTTTTAAATTCTGGCATACTTGTTTATTTTTTTATAATAAGCCATCAATATTTCACAAAAAAAAAAAACACCTTATAACCTTCTCTGCAGCAACTTGAGTATTGATCTAAATTGATGTAATTTAAACTTAATAGGGGTTTACATAGAACTGACTAACAATAGAACAACCATAAGATAAAACAAGTTAGAAGTACAGTACTCTAACATTGCAATTGTCTGTCACAGTAACTTTGTTAATTAAACTACTTCTCCGGCCAGGTAGATTGATGTCTAAAGGCCACAGTTTTATTTGATTTGTCTGTCTGTCTGTCTAATTTCCCCTACCTGATTTTATACTCTGACATGAAAATCTGAATGGAAATTGTACTTAACATATTTGATTTCTACTGATTGTTTTCATCACAAACTGCGATGTGGATTTATTGTAATCAAACAACCCTTGGCCAATTTAGTAGTCAGTTAGGTTTCCAGAGCAAATACAAGCTGACTCAGCTGTAAATGTCTACTCTGGACAGATTGGGTATTACAATAAGATTTCCTGGGGAGATATTGCTCAAATTGCTCCTAACTTACTACAATAGCGCCAAACTGCTGAATTGTCGAGGGAACTATTCTCCAGATTTTGTCAAAATGACAATTCTAACCTCAGTTTTTATCGAGATATAGTTTGTCTAATTAAGTAATATTGGCTAGTACACAGTGTAACTTTATAAATATTTTTAGTTAAAAAGCGTTTCCACGTAGGGTTACCAAATATTTTTACTTACATTAAAAAAGAAAGTCAAATAATAAATGTTGTTTAGAGTAATATAAACAATTATTAATTGATTTTGTAAAACTAAATTAAAACAATTAAATTAATCATGATATACATTAAACTCATTAATTCGATTCGAATATTCGTAAACCTTTAATAGGCCTACTGTATTGTTGTTTATAGAAACTTTATTCTTTACTTAATTTAGTCAAACAACAATAATTTTGCCGGTTAAAATCAACCGGAAAAAGTTTTTTTTTTTTTTTATAAAGTCTAGTAGCAGAAATATGTTTTCCCCTTTTTTAAGAAATTGCCAACTAAGGGCTTACATTATTGGAAAGAAAATATACGTTCTCTCTTTCTCACCTAGCCTCTATGTTAAATTGAAGCCTTCTGGGGGTTTTTATGGTTTGAATATCAGCAGGGTGGTTAATTTTCATATCCATTTATTCATATAAACGTTTATTTCCTGTTCCGTATTCAAGCGCTACCTAGATATTTCCAGACGTTTCATATCATACAATAACCTTTGTCCTGTCACGTGATGTCTGGAAACCCCAATCTCGCCCCAGTTCGCTTGCATTCATGCAACTACTAACATGTCCCCGGCACAACTAACTCCCAATTGCTGCTCTCATCTCTTAACCCCAAAGTATATTTAATTATTATTAGTGACACATATTAAAAGTAAAAGTGAACTATTGAACATTTGTGAAGTGAAACACTACTACTGCCGGTCCGGGTCTGTGTACGAGCAATACGCAATAGCTGGCCAGCAGAAGAAACTCGTGTACGTCTACCGGCTTCGTCTTCTCAACACTTCAGTTAAAAGGAAGGTACCTCATCAATCTCATTATTGTCTGTTAATTAATTAGTGACAATTTTTTAATATTGCTCTTTCACTATACAGTCCATTTGAACATTTTTAGGCAAGTTTACCCCACATCCGCTGGTCCTGTCGAGTCGGACGAAAATCTTATCATTAATAATATATTGTGCTTTTATTAGCCTAGCTACTGTAACTGTTAAAATTGTACAACTAAACTCTAAAAAGTGTCACTTCTCTAAATAATTAGAGCAGCATTTGTATTCCCCATTATTAGTTTTGGTGAATAAATAATATTTTATTCCATTCCCCTGTGCCATCTCAGACGTGAATATTTCATGTTAGTTTCATGTTCATGCCCTCCCACTGCTACATGAATCACGTCATATTTCCTTTCAACTAGTATTTGAAATCAGGAATTAGTTAGGATATTTAATATTTTCTCTAAGTTTCTCAATCAATTCACCATATCAATTATTGTCATTAACAATAATTTTTGTCTGCACTTTGTTTCGTCCTTAATTTTCTAACATATTTTCACTTATCAGAAAGTCAGCCATTTTATATTTTCTGTCCTTGCGATGCACCTTGGTAGCGAACTTCTCCACTAGAGCGCTCTGCCTACAGTATGCACGTCGCAAGAACCAATGAGCGTCGAGATTCGTAAAACAGAATAAATCGCCCAATGATATTGCTTCTTCAAATTGATCATATGTAAAACTCAGTTTCAAGCACAGGAAATCAGCTGACTGAATATAAAACACACTCCAGCTACATACAGCTGTGTGAATTGAATCAAAATATAAACGTAACCTTCAAGTTTATTTATTTACATCTTGGAAAATATTGTATTGTGTGAATATTAAACGAAATATTAGTGGTTGAATCGATTCTTGTCTACATTAAGGATATTGCTCATAATAAATACTTCCCTACTCAATTTATTCTGCGAAAATACTGATTCAAATTAAATGACTTGTGTTAAATAGACTTTACTTTTATTTACTATGTCTATCCTGGGTCTGATGGTAAAGTGAAATATAATTTTACATTCATTATTTCTTATAGAGTGAATGTAAATGAATTGATTGATTCTGAGCTATTAATTTGCATTATTGTTAGGTCTAAGACTTGGAGTTATTTTGATATTTAGGTGTTGGTGAATATTTACGTAGGCCTAAACTTATGATAAACTTAGGCCTATAGCTTACTCTTTTGATTACATAAATGGTCTGTTAAAATGAGATTCTCTACACTAGAGAAAAAGGCAAAACTTGTCAAAAATAGGCTTCAGAAAATAAGCAAGTTTGTGTCAGCCCAAATTACTCTCTCAGAAACTCAATCATTAAATGTTGTTTCCATTCAGCGCTTACACAACTATGATGATGAAGTTAGAGGTTTATTCTCTGATTTTAAAGCTTTATTCGATAAAGTGGTTTATGATGATCCTGGTTCTGATTATGACGAAACTGAAGCATGCTCTATGCAAGATGAAATTTTGGACTTGTACATTTCTCTGATCAGTGACTTGAAAATAGTGTTACCTGCTAAAACTAAAGAAGTAACACCTCCCACCCAACCATCTCTACGACTGCCCAAATTTGAGTTGCCCAAATTCAGCGGTAACTACGAAGAATGGGTTAGCTACTACAATATTTTTGAGGCGTCTATTAATAGGAATGAAACTTTGGCCCCTGTGAGTAAGTTCCAATATCTGCTTAGTTCTTTAAGTGGTGAACCCTTAGATTTAGTAAAGAGCTTAAGCATAACTGCAGAAAACTTTGATGTTGCACTTAGGCTGCTTAAGGATCGCTATGATAACAAAAGGCGTGTTGTAACTCAGCTTGTTACAAAAATCATTGATTTGCCATGCATAAGTAGTGGTTCTCTCAAAAGTCTCCAACATTTTCTCACAGTTTATAAAGAGAACACTCAAGTTTTGAAAAATCTCAACCATGACATAACAGCTGAAAATACTCTGCTTGTCCTAACGCTTTTGAAAAAGTTACCTACTGATTTAAGAAAATCTTTTGAGGATTCTCGCAGCACAAACAATGACATACCTGCAGTAAATGATCTAATTCAATTCCTTGAAAGAGAATTTAAACGATTAGAAGGAGCTAGTATCGGTCTTGGTCCCTCAGCTAACGCAAGATACCCTTCAGTGCAAAAGACTCAATCTAATAGTTATAGGCCTAAACCTCTTCGAGATAGTAAACCGTACTCCTCTCAAGCTAAAACAGCTTTCGTCACAGTGACTAACACTTGTAAGTTTTGTCAAGCATCCGATCACAATATATACAAGTGTCAAGCCTTTCAGGCTAAAAGTAGAGGTGATAGAGTTGAATTCACTTGTAAAAATAATCTATGCGCCAACTGCCTAGGCCATCTACATGATACTAATAACTGTCCTTCTCATAGAGTGTGTCGAATTTGTTCAAAGCGACATCACACTCTCTTACATGACTCAACTCCCACACAACAGCAGCCAAGTTACCCAACCAAGGTTTTTGAAAAAAAATATGGTAAGCCGCCTACAAATAACGCACCCCAAAGCCATGTCACCGCACCAGTGAATAAAAGTGCTCTTGTAGGATTGTCTAGCCAGTTAAACCCAACTAAAACAACAATTTTACTTGGAACATGTTTAGTTCAGGTGTTTTCCAAAGATGGTCAGCAAACTGTACTCCGTGCTGTGCTCGACTCTGCATCTCAACTTACATTGATATCTGAAAGAGCTGTTCAGCTCATCAGTGCCTCCCGTACTCGAGCACATGATGAAATCCAAGGAATTTCTGGCTCACTAATTCATTCTAGAGGAATAGTGCACATTGATATATCTGCAGTTAATGGTCAACGCTTAGCCTACCATCATCCATGCTTGGTTTTGAATCGTATCACTTCACCACTGCCTCAGATCCCAGTCTCACCTCAAGTGAAGGGATCTTTAAATGATTTTGTTCTTGCAGACCCCTGTTTTGACAAACCTGGAGAAATTGATCTATTGATCGGAGCTGATTTATTCGCTCTCTCACTGACTGGTGAGCAGCACTTCTTAGGCCATAACCTGCCCCAAGTTTTAGGAACTATATTCAGATTTGTTGTAATGGGCATAGCTCCTGTTGCTACATCTGAGTTATCAATCCCAAAAACTGTTTCTTTTCTCACTACACATGATGGAGACCTTCACAGTTCACTTCAAAGGTTTTGGTCAATCGAAGAACCCCCGACATGTGTCAAGACTCAGTCAGAAGAAGATGTTCTCTGCTTACAGCATTTTGAAAGAACCCATACACGTGATAACTCTGGTCGATATGTTGTTAAGTTACCGAAAAGACCAAATCATCCACTATTAGGTGAATCTTGTAGTACAGCTCAACTTAGACTTAAAGCGATGGAAAGAAAATTTGCTGCTCAGCCCGAATTCAAAGATTTATACTCCGAATTTATGGATGACTACATCAAATCAGGTCACATGAGTGCATGTGAGCAACCCCTTTCTGGTGAATGTTACTATTTACCCCATCATGGAGTATTTAAGGAGAATCCCCCTAATTCCAAAATACGAGTCGTATTTGATGGTAGTTCCAAAACAAATAATGGCGTCTCCCTAAACGATATCCTCATGCCTGGCCCTAAGTTGCAGAATGATATTAGTGATGTCTTGCTGTACTTTAGGTGTCACAAGTTTTTGTTCACTTGTGATATACGACAGATGTATCGCCAGATTCTGGTGGCTGAAGATGACAAGAAATATCAGTTAATCTTTTGGCGATCCAACCCTGATGAATACCTTCAAGTCTTAAAGCTAAATACCGTCACCTACGGTCTCAACTGTTCCCCGTTCATTGCGATCAGAACATTACAACAATTGGTCAAAGATGAGGGTCACTCATACCCCAAGGCGTCTGAGATTCTAACTAAATCAATATTTTATGACGACATCATCGCTGGAGCAGAAAGTCTTGATGAAGCTTTGTCTGCACAGAATGAACTCAAGAACTTGCTCGCTAGAGGAGGTTTTGAACTCCGAAAATGGATTAGCAACGCACCCCAACTATTGGACCAAGTCCCAATTGAACACAAAGAGACTCCAGTGGAGTTAACTGAAAATAGTGAAGCCTTCTTCAGTGTCCTAGGTCTAAAATGGACTCCAGAGTCTGACATGCTTTCTTACAAGGTTAAGGATGTTGAAATAAGTGCTATACTTACAAAGAGAAGACTATTATCTACAATCGCTAAACTGTACGATTTACCAGGATTTCTTACACCCGTAATTTTCTGGGCAAAAACACTTATTCAGTATCTCTGGACAACAGGGCTAACTTGGGATGAACCTGTTCCAAATGATGTTAGAACCAAGTGGCATTCATTCTTAGAAGAACTCCCAATAATTCAAGAATTAAGAATTCCACGCTACATTTCTACTTCTCTGCATACGGCTGTGCAACTCCACGGCTTCAGCGATGCTTCAGAGAAAGGCTACGCTGCTGTTGTCTACCTTCGTGTCACTGACTCTCAAGAGAATACAAGGCTCTATCTCATCGTCTCTAAATCAAAAGTCGCTCCTTTGAAAAGAATTTCTCTGCCACGGCTTGAACTTTGTGGCGCTCACTTACTGGGAAAACTTCTTCAATATTCTTCAAACATACTCTCTGCTCATATGAAGATTGAATCAATCTATGCTTGGTGTGACTCCACAATTGTCCTAACCTGGATATGTACTCTTCCATACCGCTTGAAAGTCTTCATTGCCAATCGTATTTCAGAACTCCAAGAATTGGTCTCTCCTCACTCATGGAATTATGTCAAATCTCAAGACAACCCGGCAGATTGCGCCACTCGTGGTCTTTCACCCTCTTAACTTGTGACTCATCATTTATGGTGGAATGGACCGGAATGGTTACAGTCATCGTCAGATTCTTGGCCTAAGCCAAAATTCACACCTGTTATTGATGATGACACTCTTGAAATAAGGCCAAATCCTCTAAACGTTCTAGCAACCACAGAGAAGATTAAACTCACTGATTTTGATGTACTAGAAAAATATTCATGTTTCAGGAAACTTGTAAATGTCATGGCATATATATTGCGATTCATTCATAATCTGCAAGCCAATGATCCCCGCATCGGACGACTTACTTGCCAAGAAACTTCTTCAGCGAAATTAAGAATTTTCAAACTCATACAAAATACATCATTTAAGGATGACATCTCTGCTCTCAAAAAGGGATCTCAATGCAGCTTAAAACTTGCTCGTTTATCCCCATATATTGATGACAGTGGAATAGTGCGAGTAGGCGGCAGGTTGAAACATTCCAACCTTACACAAGATGCGAAACATCCAGTTTTGTTACCTAAATCTCACTGTGCTGTCAAACTGTTGATTATGCATTATCACCTAAAGCATCTACACGCAGGCCCTCAATTGCTGCAGTCTATTCTGTCTCAAGAGGTTTGGATATTATCAGCCCGCAGCGTGATAAGATCTGTGATTTTCAAGTGTCAAAGATGTTTCAGACTTAAGCCTGTAAACAAACCTCCACTGATGGGAGATCTTCCTGAAACTCGATTAAAACCTGTAAGGCCATTCTATCACACTGGCATGGACTATAGTGGACATTTTGACATTAAAGTTCATTCAACTAGGAACACTCAACGGGTAAAATCATACCTCTGCCTCTTTGTATGTTTTGCTACGAAAGCTGTGCACCTAGAAATTGTAACAGACCTATCTGTAGACTCCTTCATAGCTGCACTAAAACGTTTTGTTTCTCGTCGTGGATTGTGTGCCCACTTATACTCAGATTGCGGAACTAACTATGTTGGAGCCTCAAAGCAACTCATGAAAACTTTTCAGAATTTCATCAAGGAATCAAACACTAAAGATGCTCTTAACAACTTCGCGTTAGATCACTCAATAAATTTCCACTTTCAACCACCAGCCGCTCCCCACCAAGGAGGCCTATGGGAGAGTGCTATAAAAAGTTCTAAATATCATCTGAAAAGAGTCATAGGCGATAGAGTTCTAACACTAATGGAAATAATAACACTCGCCACACAGGTGGAGGCTGTACTAAACTCGAGACCTTTGACAGCGTTATCCGCAGATCCATCCGACATCTCAGCCCTTACTCCGGGCCATTTTCTTATCGGCACTTCTCTTGTGGCAGTACCGGAACCAAATCTTGAAGAGGTTCCCGAAAATCGTCTCAACCATTGGCAAACTGTACAAGCCCTACATCAACGCTTCTGGCGACGTTGGCATCAAGAATATTTACATCAGCTACAACAAAGAAAGAAATGGGAAAAGCCCAACAAGAATCTAGAAGTGGGTGATCTCGTTATAATTCAGGACCCTAGAACACCACCACTACTTTGGCCTCTTGGACGCATAGTGAAGACTTCGCCTGGATCAGACGGCATCGTCCGAGTTGTCACCATCAAGACTCAGCGGGGAACCTTCTGTCGTCCTGCTACCAAGGTGTACCCGCTCCCCTGATCTCATTATCAGACCAAACAAAATGTTTATTCTATTTTCAAACATATTTCTATTTCAATGTTATGTATATATATTTAATCTATGTTTCTTATATTTCAATGTCAATCTTTATTCATTATGTGTCACTTTGTAACTTTCTCAATGTTTTGAACCATGTATGGTTCAAGGCGGGCGGCATGTTCCGTATTCAAGCGCTACCTAGATATTTCCAGACGTTTCATATCATACAATAGCCTTTGTCCTGTCACGTGATGTCTGGAAACCCCAATCTCGCCCCAGTTCGCTTGCATTCATGCAACTACTAACATGTCCCCGGCACAATTAACTCCCAATTGCTGCTCTCATCTCTTAACCCCAAAGTATATTTAATTATTATTAGTGACACATATTAAAAGTAAAAGTGAACTATTGAACATTTGTGAAGTGAAACACTACTACTGCCGGTCCGGGTCTGTGTACGAGCAATACGCAATAGCTGGCCAGCAGAAGAAACTCGTGTACGTCTACCGGCTTCGTCTTCTCAACACTTCAGTTAAAAGGAAGGTACCTCATCAATCTCATTATTGTCTGTTAATTAATTAGTGACAATTTTTTAATATTGCTCTTTCACTATACAGTCCATTTGAACATTTTTAGGCAAGTTTACCCCTCATTTCCATTTATTAAACAGTACTACATTTTTCATTCTCCGTAATGTTACTGAGTGTTTTCATACTCTTCAGCTTGTTTAGAACATAAAGGCAAACGTGTATCGTGTATGCATAACAAGTTAGTTAAGATATACATGTATTACAACAAACAAAATATGTACACTTAAATAAACAAAATTACAATAAAAACTAGGAAACTAGATTTTAACAAAATAGAAATGAAAAGAAGTTTCTTTAGTAATTAAGAATGGGTTTTGCATAAGAATGTATTTTTATGTAGACATAAAAATAATAACGCTTCTCAGTGTATACTAATCAAGTATTATCAAGAAGTTATCATGAATCTGTTGATAAATAAACTAAATGTTGTATTACATAAATCATTTACCAAAGTCGATTCAGAGTTTTTCTTATGCCGATGTGTAGTAATAAAACGTTTCAAGCTAATAGCTTTAAATGGTTCCAATAGTATTAAGATTTTGTAAAGCTTACATTAGTCGAGAGAAAGAGGTGGTATTTATTATGATTCTATGATATTAATAGTTGGAGTATTGACGTTCTTAAAGACCACACTATGTCGTTGAATACTTTACACATTGTAATTTAGGTAAAACAATTACAAACAGAGTATTAAAATGTCTCATTGATGTATATTGATGCTACAATCAGATTCGTTGTAGCTACATAAGAACACTAATAGTGTAAATGTTGCTCGAAATTGAGCAATTGCAAAGAAGTAAAGTAGTGATTTAAAAACAAATAACTTATTAAAAAAACTAATAAAAGTCATAATTTCCGATGAGTTTAAAAGACTCAAATTATAGATTACGTACATATAATCCATATAATCAACATTTATTGTAAATATTATATTAATTTTTAAAAGCTGATCTGGTTTTTTAGTGTATTCTACAACTTATAGCCATATTAGGTTGTCCATGTTGATTTTCGTCAATGATAAAGTAGTCTGCATGGTAATACCCATTGTCGCCAGTACGTTTACAAATTTCAGCGATAACATTTTGTTTACATTACTTATGAACTGCCTGATTGTCTGCATAACCTCTCTTTCAAAATTGTATTTGCTTCAATTGGAAATAATTTGGCTAGTTCTACTCAATTATATACGTGTATATTCAATGGTTATATTTACCTGAAAAAATGTAGAATTGAAAGGCCTAACGGTTTTTTGTTTCCTTTAAATATGAATAACGCAAATCCTTCAATAAAAGTTTTATTAAGGTTTCTTGGATGTAGTCATATTATTTTAAAAATCACTCGACTTTTATGAAAATATATATTTAATTTCCTTGCCATACCAGTTTTATTCAGCCTTGGAGTGTTTTCCTTTGCCAATCATCTTGAAGTTGAGTCCGTGTTTCCTCAAATTAGTAACACTTCGGCTAACATCCTTGTTCATTGTTTGTAGGAATCTTCATATTGTAGGTGTTCTTCATTAAATAGGAGGTAAACAATATCAAATTGCCCGGGCTTTCTCGATTTTTTATATTGTAAATTAAAGTAGTAAATATTTAATTTAAACAAAATCAGTAAATGTACCCTTTCGTTAAATTGAAAAATAAATAACAGCAATTAAATTATACAGCTGATCAAAACTTAAACAATTATGTTCTTCATAAGGATAACATGTGAAATTCCAAAGCCATTGGGGCAGTGCACAAGAAACTTTTTCAAAAAAGGAAGGTCAGTTTGCAAATCTACGTGACACGCTCTTTCCAATGAGACGTCAATGGATAAAATCGGTTAAGAAATTGGGAAAGAGTTCAACCGACAAACTTCGTGTTCGCGTATTAATTATATAGATTAGACTGTTGTCATTGCAAGTAACTATAACTCTTGGGACTTAAACATACAACGGGTTGTATACTATTCAAGAAGGATAGTTGAATTGGATTCAATTTTAGTTAAGAAATAAAATGAGCTATTATATGTAACATCACAACCCTACTTATGACTTTGTAACTCAAACATAGAAGTAAAAGATAATGTTATAAAAACTAATGCCAAGTGGATTGTAAATTGTGAAATACAAAGTAAGTAGAACTTGAAATTATCCTAGGAATACCATGAACAGTTTACCAAATTAATATTAATTGTTTTACAAACCATCTCATGGACTAAAACTTGTTAGTATTATTGGTCGTTAAATTGCAAGTTAGTTGTGATTGCAATTAATATATTTAATACTAATTTGTAATGAACTGTTTTTAATATGTTCGATCACACAAAATGTTAAGAATATATCCTAAATATGTTTTAAAAGTTATGATAGCAGAGACTATTACGCTATTTGTAATTGTCACAGACACTGTAAGCTATGACATTTCACAGAAACATGTGTTAGTGCCATTTCTAACATCTTTATGGAGCTCTCAGGTTAATTAACAAGGGTGCGGCTTTTAGCAAACGTATATGCTTGGTAATTAATGTAATTAACTTTATTTAAGGTTACAAGAAATCCTTCACTATTTTTAAAGGTGATCGAGAATTAAAATACTGCAGAGTTGTTAGTCTTAAGCTTAAAACCAAAGTCTTTGCCTGAAAGGTACTCTCCCACCTCCCTCTGATTTCATTATGTACACAACACGTGGAAAATTTACGGAGTAATAACAGCAATTAGTTGATCACCTCTACAGCGGCAGCGGCTTGACACTTTGTAGATTCATATTCAAACAACAAATCTTAACCCCC